AGGTAAAATTTCCTTTTGTACATGAAGAAGATTCCTGAAGATCAATTTTGCGTTGGGCCTTATTATTGTATTTAATGATTTTATCAAGGCATACTTTACATAAATGGGCTGCATGCAACTATAGTATACAATGCAATAAGTTTTGATGTATGCACAGCACCACTGTCAAGATAATAAGCATATCCATCACTTCTCAAAGTTTCCCAGTGCCTCTTTGTAAATCCTTCTGGCTGCCCCTTCCCCACCCCCATGACCAGGCAATCATTGATCTGTTTTCTATCACTGCAGATTAGTTTGCATTTTCTAGGACATAATAGAAATGGATTCCTATACAGTCATGTGCTGCATAATGATATTTTAGTGAAGGATGTAAGATGGTGGTCCTATGAAATTATACTGCTCTGCTTTTGACTGTGCCTTTTCTATGTTTAGATACACAAATACAGTCAGGAGTTGCTTAAAAATGGGAATATGTTCTGAGAACTGCTTCCTTAGACAATTTCATCCTTGAGTAGACATCACAGTGTACAGACCTAGATGGTATAGCCTACTACACATCTAGGCTATATGGTAGAGCCTATTGCTCCTACGATTACAAATTTGTGCGACAGGTTGTACTGAATACTGTAGGCAACTGTAACACAATGGTAAGTATTTATGAATCTAAACATACCCAAACATAGAAAAGACACAAGAAGTATATGGCATAGAAGATGCAAAAGGATACCCCTGTACAGGGCACTCGCCATGAATGGAGATTGCAGGACTAGACGTTGCTCTGGGCGTCAGTAAGTGGTGAGTGAATGAGAGGCCTGGGACATTACTGAACTACTCTAGTCTTTATGAACACAGTATCCTTTAGCTACACCAAATTTATAGAACAGCATTTTTCTTTCTTCAATTATAAATTCACCTTGGTCCATTGTAATTTGTTTACTTTATAAACATTTAATATTTTTAACTTTTTGACATTTTTGTAATAACACTTAGCTTAAGACACAAACGCATTGTACAGCTATAAGAAGTATTTTCTTTATATTCTTATTCTAAACACATTTTTCTATTTTTAAATGTTTTTATTTTTATTGTTTTACTTTTTAAACTTTTTTGTTTAAAATGAAGACACAAACACAGTCTAGGCTTACACAGGATCATGATCATCAATATCACTGTCTTCCATCTCCACATCTTGTTCTCCTGGAAGATCTTCTAGGGAAAACACACATGGAGCTGTCATCTCCTATGAGAACAATGCCTTCTTCTAGATACCTCCTCCAGGACCTGACTGAGGCTGTTTTACAGTTAACTTTTAAAAATATGCAAGTAGAAGGAGTATACTCTACAATAATGATAAAACCAGTAACATTGTCATTTATTATCAAGTATTATATATTGTACATAATTGTATGTTACACTTTTATATAACTAGCAGCACAGTAGGTTCGTTTACACCAGCATCACAACAAACATGTGAACAGCACATTGCACTCACACCTTAGGAGGGCTATAACAGCATTAGGTGATAGGATTTTTTCAGCTCCATTATAATCTTGTGGGACCACTGTCATATATGTGGTCCATCATTAACTGAAACATTGTTATCCAGTGCATGACTACAGTATGTTTATCTGGCTTCTTTCATTGGGTGTAATTATTTTGAGATTTCTCTATGCAGTTGTGTTCATTCCTTATTACCACTGGGTAGTATTACATCTTATGGATATAGCACTATTTGTTTATCCATTCACTTCCTGATAAACATTTAGATTGTTTCCAGTTTTTATCTATTGCAAGTAACATTGTGATTAGTATTTGTATTTTGTATAAATCTTTGCATGGGCACATGCTTTCATTTTTCTTGGGAAAATACCTAGGAGTAAAATGGCTGGGACGTGTGGTAAGCGAATGTTTATTTCAGAAACAGTTAATGGAATTCCCAGAGTAGCTGAACCACACTGTACATTCTCACAACCAGTATATGAAGATTCTAGTTGCTCTGCAGCTTTGCCAGTACTTGGTATAGTCGGTCCTTTTAATTTGTAGACATTCTTATGAATATATATTAGTAGCTCATGATTTTAATTTGCATTTCCCTAACTAAAAATGTCGAGCATTTTGGAAATGTTTATTTGCCATCCAAATATATTGAACATTCCTGCATGATCAAACTCTCATCACTTTAAAAAATTGAGGCGTCTTTTTGTTCATGAATTTTGAGATGTATAAAGGGTTTGTGTGTGTATGTGCTATTGCATATCACTCTCAGATATGTGATTTGCAAATATCGTCTCCCTCCCAGCCTATAGTTTTTATTATGTTAATACTTTTATTTTTGTGTGCAATTTGTTAGGTTTTGTGCAATTCATTTTTTTGTGCAAGTACACGCTAATGTTCACACAAGGATGAAATCACCTAAGGATGCATTTCTCAGAACATCTCCAAATACCTGAGAACGTACACCAAATCATCAATTATTTTTCCCCCAATTCCAATATCATTGGTGTTCTGGAACTGGCTTGAAACCACTTTCAAGGACCAATTTTTAAATGTTTCGGGATTTTGCAAACTGATTATTAAATGCAGTCATTACTAAAAATTAAATTACATAAATTTATAGTTAAATTATATTAAAAATAAAGGAATAAACACTCAAAAATTGTCACTTTCTAATTACTTTACTACAGTTACCATTATTTACATGGGTAAGGTTGTAACTGTATGTTGGAAATACCACAAAATGGTGTGCCATTCACCATTTCTTCATAACTCAGCATTCAGCACGCCCATGTTGGTAGGCTGAAATCAGCCATTGAGTATATATTTATGCCATGAACATGGCTTGATTTATTGTTTTGCTGATTATCTAGGCTTAATAAAATTATGGAAAAAATGTTAGTGTAGATTAAACATACATGTGTGACATGTCTATTTCTGAAACACTATGAATAAACATTGTGAGTATTGTGAGTAAATACTCTTCCAGCATTTGAGAACAATAATCCAATTCAGCAAAAAAGTCACTCACATTGTTGACAAATGGGTGAAGTCTAGACATGCATATTTATTGTTTTACTTTGAGATTTCTTGTTAAGATAAATGAAAATATCAACTAACGTTCTTGTTGGAACTATACTGGTCTGTCAACTGAATCCATATTTTGTCCAGCGACACAGGAGTTTGGCAAAAACCAGCAAAAGCATTCAATGAGAAGCAATTGCCTCTTTGGAATTTGCAGCAAAATGTTTTGTATATTATTATTATTATTATTTATGTGTAAATTGTGTGCTACATATACCTTATATCAGCAAATTTAGATATACTTTTTCAGAGAGGCAAATGTCAAATATTTACCAGAATAACACTGTTCAAAATTCTATTTTTTATGAGCCACTCTACATACACATACCTTGCCTTTTCCATATTGGCTGGTGATTTGGAGACTCTGTGCTCTTTCAGAAAGCAGAAGATTGAAGGACAAAATGAATTGCTTATTGTGTTTTCCTGGCTAAATATTTTTTGAAGTAATGCAGTTACAGTAAAATTATTGCCTGAGAAGAGACAATATAGTAAGTGAGACTGACCATGCCAGGGCAATTCCACATGGAAGGCCAAAGAAGCGGGACTGTGTGGCTCATTTATTTACCAAGTTATTACTGACTTTGTAATTATCACTCTGCCCTAAGTATGTCTAAAAGCAGGGAAACCACTAGTTTTGCATTCTGTTTACAATGAGAGATTAGTTATTGCTTCAAAAATAGTGACCAACGTGCATGAAACATTGGACCCTTGGCAAGTTTTATAATTAAAGATACCCAGTGACTCTTGATTTATGTTCATTTCAGGCTACTTTGTTTGCTGCTAAGGCAGCAAAGTCATTTTTTTGACTGAAATGTGAAACATGTGTGTCATGGATTTCAGCAGTCATTTAAAGATGTAACCCCTGTCCCCATACACACAGAGTGAGGGAGAGAAATCCTAATGACTTCAGCAGAGCAAACAGGCTATGCCCCTCTGGAGGCAAATAATTCATAAAACATCAAAGGAATGGGATAAAACAGAACTTGCAGAATTGTGTACAATCAGAACCTTATACTGTACTTAGGAACCCACCCTTACTGATCACTCCTACTAAGGTTTATGACCAGTTCTGTATTCTTATATCCTTTAATATCCCCTGTAAAATTTAAGGGAGGCTTTTTCTGGAGTTAAAATCCATAGGCTAAAATGATACATGCTTTCAGCAATGCAGTGCTTGGTTGATGGCTGTTTTTTATTCATTTTCTTTTCTTTTTTTTAGACAGAGTCTCTTTCTGTCACCCAGGCTGGAGTGCAGGGTGTGATCTCAGCTCACAGCAACCTCCGCCTCCGGGATTCAAGTAATTCTCCTGTCTCAGCTTCCCGAGTAGCTAGGACTACAGCCACATGCCACCACGGCCAGCTAAGTTTTTGAATTTTTAGTAGAGAGAGCGTTTCACCATGTTAGCCAGGATGGTCTTGATCTCCTGATCTTGCGATCTGCCGGCCTTGGTCTCTCAAAGTGCTGGGATTACAGGTATGAGCCACCATATCTGGCTTTTTTCTCATTTTCTACTACATTTTTTAGAACTCTGAGATATATATTTAACATCTTCCAATGGTTTAAGTACCTCTTCATATATATATATATATATATATGTGTGTGTGTGTGTGTGTGTGTGTGTGTGTGTATGTATATATATAAAGTCATATATATGTGTGTCTTTAGGAAGTTATTAATCCTGACTTATATTCTTGTCTATATTAAAGCAGAAATGAAAAGACATCTCTTAGGGGTTTTGTGAAAGTATTTGGCCCATCACAAAGCATATTCTTAAAAGAATTTTCTGTCTTACTTTCTTCCTTCCTCTTTGCCTCTTGTCCTTCCTGTTCACCCTCATTCCTTAATTTCTTCCTTTCCTTCATTCTAAGTTCTGTAATATATAAATTATTATGATTGTAGTAATTACTCCAAGGCTTCTCAGGTCAAGTTTCATTGTGTTGCTCTAAGCAAGACGTGCCTGAGCTGTGAACTCACCGCTGGGAAGAGATCTCACCATGGGACCCCAGCCAGAAGGAAACGCTTGGGGCAGAGAAGGGGAGCTGCCTCCTGGAACTTCACCCTCCAATGGGATGGGGGACCTGGAGGACAGGAAGCCCAATCTAGCTACAAAGCTCCAAAGGAAATGACAACAGCCAGGATCAACACAGTCTCCCAAAGAATCCAGCAAACAGAACTGTGTACATCACATGCCTCACTGTGCTCTAGGCCTGAAGAAGAAGACAAGAATCAGAGAAGTCCTTGTCCTCAAGAAGCTCCCTGCTTAAAGACCAAGATGTACAACCATTCAAATGCACAAAGCCAGAGAGTGTTACAGCAGAGGTAGGCATTTCAGGTGAGCCTGAATACAGCATTTTCTGGTAAGTACTATGGCAGGTAAAATGTAAAAATCTAAGACATCTAAGACAACCAAGTGGACTTCTGGCCAAAGATCAAAGACAGTACAAAAGCTGTGAGTTTAGGAGCCAAGCAGTACTCCAAAATCCAGGTGTGATATCAGACAAAAGATGATCTCATAGCCCAGGGACAGACGATTATTGCTTTACATAACATTTAGGGAAAGACTATTGAGTCACGTAAGAGCAATAATAAAAATAGTAGCAATAGTGATAATATTCACAAATGACATTTAATAGCACCTGCACTGTAACAAGCACTATTTCAGATAATTCAGGTTAAGCATCGCTAATGCTCACAGCAAATGCATGAGTTATCTTTTAGTTCTACTTTGTCTGGGTAGAGAAACAGGGACAAAGAGGAAAAGGGGAATGCAATCTAGCTTACACAGCTCATTGGTAGCAAAACTGGAAATCGTCACCAGGTTTGCCTGGCTTCAAAGCTACTGTTCTGTCTTCTAGGAAACCCTTAAATATTTCTGGCCCTGAATCCATGGAGACCATGGGCTTGGGTAGGATATCTTAGCATAAAGACAAAGAGGAAAGATGGAGAAACAGAAATAAATTTGATGTTGAAATTTGTTTTTTTGTAGACAAAATGTAGAAATCCAGTGTTTAGAACCAGAGTACACATTTAGAAAACATTGAAATCATTAAGTCTGGTACTTACCCACCCCACGCCAAGAGATTAATATTGCCCAAGTAGTTTCTACCTCATTGACAAAGAGTTTGTAGGACAGTGAGTCTTGCAGGAACGTCCCCTAGAGAAGTCATAGGAGGTTAGCATGTCCATAAGCCTATTGTTAATATCTAGAGGCCTTCTCAAAGACAAGCTGGCTTGGCTGGAGCAGCTGAGAGCACACCCTGTACTTATTTTTAACATTCTTTAATGTTTTCAGATGAGCACAGCTCTGAAATAGAAAGGCTGACCCATTTCAATGACATTTTCCCAAGGACGTCATAATATTGTGTGTTTGTCTTCCCTTTACCCCAGTTAGAGTCCCAGTGTCCCTGAACTAAAGGAAACTTCCTTGCAGGCAGATAAATGGCAGGCAGTGTGACTGGGTTTAATAATATGTCACCTCTACAGTTACACTTTTCACTCCATGAGCCTCAGTCACCTATAAAATATCAGCACCCTGCAGAAAGAAGCCAGCGTGTTTGTGTGCCATCCATGTTCAAGGGCACACATGGAACCCAGGAGGAAAAACAGAGTGCAGGATAATTGATGGAGCCACAGAGAAGCCAGAAGAATATTAACTAAGGAGATTTCTCACATTGCATTGCATCACGATTTTTGTCTTTCGCTTTTAACAGATAAGGGAGGAAACTCAGAAGTACCGAGTCATTTCCCCAAGCTCACAGGGCAACTAGATGGTAGCGCCACAGTCTCTCAGTGGTTGCTGAATGGAGAGGTATTTGGCAAGATCTAAATGTCCAATCTTTCTGAAAATACAAACTACACAGTTTTAGTTTATGTTTCTTCTGTTTCTTTTTCTCCTGTAAAACAGTAGAGTGTACATTTGTGAGTATTCCCATGTGTCTCCAGGAAAGGTTTGAAGTATAAGACTTAAGTGACTTGAAAGAAGAAAACACAATAAAACCACAACAATAACAAGTAGTCTTGAGTTTGCTAATGGTCCTGGTTCTGTCTCTGTTCAAAGTTCCATGAGTTTTGTGACCAGTGGGTACCATATTCCTGATGGCCAGCCAGTTGGATGTATGAGTGAATTCCTCTTCGGTGCTAGTTAATATTTCCTAGATAAGGGATATTCCCTAAGCCTCCTGGTTTGTGTGGGGCCATACTGTCTAGGCTGCCATGCTGCTTGTTCTGATGTTGTCACTGATATTTCCAGAAAGATCTCTGTCTGCCCCTGCTCCAAGACACACTCATGGGTGCATGTACCAGAATTACCCTCTCACCAAAACTGGTGAGAATTTACAACTCCCTCAGTGGGACTATGCTATCTGACTGTTAGCTATTGGCAAGATGGCAGAAGAAACATTGATTTACCCCAAGCTTCTAGTAGTTTTGTGTTGTACATCCTCCAGTCACCTATTCTAAGCCACTCTTCAGAACTCACGTAGAGTCTGAGCTGGACGAAATCTTAGCAGCATTGAACTCAACTCTCTTGCCACACAGACGTGGGAAGAGATTGAGTTCTGTTAGGTTCAGGGATTGCCCAACCTTGTACAGCCTAGAGAAGCTTATTTTCTTATAAGCAACCCTTGATCATAGTAAGAAGTTCTTTATGGTAGATGATTATTTTTGGATCCCTTAGCTCAATAGTTTTGCCGTGTTTCCAAACTCATCAGAGCAATATCGAATATTAAGTTTGTGTGCAGTATACTCCAAAGTCTTAATCTTCCTTTACTTTAAACATGACATATTTCAGCTATGGTGCCAGTTACACGTGGTTTCTAATCCCTGGAACAACCCTGAGTGAGTATTTGCATTCTTATTTTACAGCCAAATGTGCTATCTTAGAGAGTTTCAGCCATTTTTCTCAAAGTGGTATCACTAAGTAGGGGTGGAGCTGGGATTGTGAAGTAGGTTTGCCTTTATTTTTTCCAGTACATACAGATATTGTTCCAGCACAGGAACACAATTTATTTCCTCTGTAGACTGACTTCATTTCCAGTGCTGCAATGGAGTGGGAGCTGACCTAGCAGTTTGAAACACCAGCCAGGAATCGGTGTGGAAGGGTTATGTTTTTTCCCTGAAACTGGGATCTAAAGTGGACAGTAGAGGTATTAATAGATGTGGTAAGTATTCAAAGAAAATTATTTTCTGGCTCAAAATATAAACTAGAATAAATGGAGCTGTGAAACAGTATGAAGTCAGGATTTACTGTTGCTCATTGAACATGCTTTTGCTCACTCTTGTATTTTCACATACATTGGCATTCACTATTATACTGCCATAGTAGACACTGGATAAATAAAAAATCACATAAGCCAGTGTAAGAATTAAGAGCCTATCTATTCATCCCAATTAACCTACCAGCAAGAATCTAGAAGATTCTGAGAACTTAATTTGTCTGCTCCTCTGGAATATGGAGCAGAAGCTTAGAAAAGGAATGAGGAAAAGAAGGCAGACTTCAAATCATGACTTCAGACATATTTATAAGGGATCTGAAAGGCCATTTAAGCTACTGATCCCTTAAGAGTTTCTTTCCAGAAATGGCCTTGCTAAGAGTTACTAAGCTTCTTCTTGCTTACCATCACTGATGGTGATATCACTACCTTCAAAATACCCCACGCACTACTACTCAGACGTTAATGTTACAAAGCGGCTCTTTTAATCTGGACTAGACTTGACTTCACTTAACATTTATCCATCGATCTTTGTCCTCTCTCTAATGTCACATGAGGCATCTAATACTTTTTTAAAAGACTCTCTTTCCTGTGACTGCTTGTAAAGAGTGGGATGTTTGTGGCCAGTGTTACCAATACACAAACAGTATACTAAGTTCTCTTTGTTGTCATTTGTCTGTCAGTAGGGTAAATGCTTTTAGATAATATAATTTCATATTTTTATAAGAATTGGTTTCTTAGTACAAGCAGATAGCTCTAATTCCATGTTATCAACTTTGATGTTATCAAAATACTGTAAATTAAATAATTCCAAGAAGACTTGAAAAATGATATGTGAGATAGACAGAAGAGAGGTTTAAAGTCCTAAACAGTTATAAGCAAGAGTCCAACCACACACCATTTTACTCCAGAGTCCTGCCTTAGAGGACATTCTGGGTGTTACCAGCCTAATAAAGATACCTTGCAATCAGGGGAGAAATGCCAGATGTAGGTGATGGGGAGGAAGGCAGCAAATCACACTGCCACGTGTGTTCCTATGCAACAATTTTGCATGTTCTTCACATGTACCCCAAAACCTAAAATGCAATAAAATAAATAAATGGGAAAAAAAAAAGATACCTTGCAATCAGCACCACAAGCACCTCTCAACTTTGCATATTCAGTAGAAGGACTCAGCAATGTTTAGCCATTTCCTTTTAGATGTAACTTAATGAAGACATGAAAACAGATTCCTTTGTGAGCAAAATTGAACCTAATAGCATGTGATTTCATTTTCGCCTACCAAAAAAATATTTAACATGAAAAAAAGATATAAAAGACAAAGGAGCAGATTTTTTTAAGTCTATAAACTTCCTATTTTACAGAAACTGTGTTCATTTTCAAATTTTAGATGTGTAAAATACCACTTAGTAAACTGCAAACTATCCAAATTTGGCAAAAACAAAAATTTTAATAAAATGCATCTGAAGAAAACTAGCTTAAAATTGAAAGATTAGTATTTTATTTAAAAATTTTTAATTTAATTATTCTATTTTTATGTATTTTTATTTGACCTGATTAATACTGAACATCTTAGCCATTCAGAAATAATTTTCCGATCGATCCAAGATGGCCGTTTAGGAACAGCTCAGGATTGCAGCTCCCAGTGAAAGCGCAGAGGGTGAGTGGACGCCGCATTTTTATTGCCCACAGACTAGGAAATTCCCAGGCAGAGGAGCTCCACAGGTCGCCAGCGTGGCTGTTTCGGCCAGTGCGGCTGTGCTGGCCGGTGCTGCTGCTTTGCCCCATATGGCTGCTTTGTTGGTGCCCCGGAGCAGTGGTTCTCTGTACAAAATACACCGGTCCGAGTGCACTTTTGGCTGGCGATTGGAGCCACAGGAAGTCGCCCATTCGTCTGTTTAAAAAAGGGACTGAGCAGAGAACCAGGACAGTAGATTCCAGGGCAAAAAAAAAAGCGCCACGAATCTCAGTGCCGCTGTTTAAGCCAGCACAGTGAGTGGCCGCAGGGGAAAACAAACAGACCCCGGCGCCTCCTCAACAGGTGACTGGAACACCAACTTTAAAAAGTCTCTGAGGCAGGGAGCCAGGCGATCGGACTCAGCTGGTCCCACCCCCACAAAAGAACAGCAATCAGAAACTCTCTGGATTGAGAGTTTCACAGCAAGCGCAGCTGAACCCTGGACGGTCCAGCTCTGTGGGGGAGGGGCGTCTGCCATTACCTTGGCAGCCCACCACTACGGAGGTAGTCCGCCAATGCAGAGGCAGCCCGCCGTTGCCAAGGCAACCCGCCATTGCTGAGGCAGCCGCCGTTGCCAAGGCAACCCGCCACTACAGAGAGACTCTGCCTTAAAAGAGGCGGGCCACCCTTGCTGAGGCAGTTCTAAGAACACCCATATAAACAGGACTGCAGGGAAGTTCACTCGGCAGCTGGGCGGAGCCCACAGCAGCTCAGGAAAGCCTCTACAGGCAGACAGTGACTAGGCTGTCTCCTTGCTGGGCAGGGAAGCTCTGAAGGAAAAAAAAAAAGAAGGCAGCAGTATAACGGAAACTCATAAATAAAGCCCTAAATCCCTGGGACACAGCACCTGGGAAAAAAAGCGGTTTATGAGTTCTGCTGCAGCAGACCTAAACGTACCTGCCCAGCAGCTCTGAATGAACAACAGAGCTCACAGCTCAGCATCTGAGCTCCTGTAAAGAAGAGACCGTCTCCTCAAGCAGCTCCCTGACCCCTGTATATCCAAAGAGCCACCTCATAAAGGAGAGATCAGACTGACACCTGGTGGGTATCCTTCTGGGACAAAGATAGCAGAAGAAAAAAACTGGTATCAACCCTTACTGTTCAGCAACTACTGCAGGTGATCCCCAGGCAAGCAGGGCCTGGAGTGGACCTCAGCAGACCTACAACAGAGGGGCCAGACTGTCAGAAGGAAAACCAAGAAACAGAAATAACCTCATCATCAACAAACAGAACATCCACTCAGAGACCCAGTCTGAAAGCCAGCATCTACAAAGTCGACAGGTGGATAAACCCATAAAGATGGGAAGAAACCAGCACAAAAAGGATGAAAACACCCGAAACCAGAACACCTCTCCTCCTAAAAGGGATCACAACTCCTCACCAGCAAGGGAACAAGGTTGGAGGGAGAACGAGTCTGATGAAATGACAGAATCAGACTTCAGAAGGTGGGTAGTAAGAAAGTTTTGTGAACTAAAAGAACATGTTCTAACCCAATGCAAAGAAACTAAGAACCTTAAAAAAAGATTTGATGAAATGCTAACGAGAATGGACAAAATAGAAAGGAATATAAGTGAATTGATGGAGCTGAAAAAC